AAAAAAAAAAAAAAAAAATAGAGTAATTAAAAGTATGAATCCCCACTGTGGGAGGCCAAGGTGGAAGGATTTCTTTAGGCCAAGAGTTCAAGACCAGTGTAGGCAACATAGGGAGATTCCCATCTCTACTAAAAATAGAAAAACTTAGCCAGGTGTCATGGCAGGTGCCTGTAGTCCCAGCTACTTGGGAGGAGGAGGCAGGAGGGTTGCTTGAGCCCAGAAGTTTGGGGTGAGGTTGCTGCCAGCAGGGCTGAGGCCATAGCATCCCAGCCTTGGTGACAGAGACTGTCTCAAAAAAAGGGGGGGGGTGAATCCATTTTTCCTTATCCTGTGATATATTTATCTTTATGAACGTGATTTATAAATAAAGTGCAATAAGAAGTCTTTACTGCATTTCTCTCTGACCAGCATTTTTCATTCCTTATCTCTGAAAACAATCCAGTTGTGTAAGGGTGGGGGAAGGGTGCTGGGTGCTGTGTGGGGTGGGCTGGGGCAGGCTGCTTGCTTCCGTGCCACTCAAGTATTGCTCCTTTCCTTGTTTTGAATAGTGCCATCATGACCGGGTCCTACAACAACTTCTTCAGAATGTTTGACAGAAACACGCAGAGGGATGTGACACTGGAAGCCTCCAGAGAGAACAGCAAGCCTCGTGCCAGCTTGAAGCCGAGGAAAGTGTGCACAGGGGGCAAGAGGAAGAAAGATGAGATCAGCGTGGACAGTCTGGACTTCAACAAGAAGATCCTCCACACAGCCTGGCACCCCGTGGAGAACATCATTGCTGTGGCTGCCACCAATAACTTGTATATATTCCAGGACAAAGTCAACTAAGGAGCCAACTGGAGGACCACGTCTCGTCTCACATAGTTAAGCTGGTCGTTTTCTGTCCGCTCCATTGAGAACATGATGCACTTGCTTCTTCCCTCACAGACACGGGAGAGAAGTGGCCTGGGCTGGAGGCTTGCGGGCTCTGCCCCGGTGGCAGGGGTGCTGCTGCTCGCAGGAAAGCCCACTGCACATAGAGTTGACGGACATTGCTCCATAAAGGCCATTGCTCAAAATAAATGTATTTATTTGATTCTGAGCCTTCCTTTTCCGTTTCTAGACCAAAAGATTAACATCACGAGAAAAGTTGTCAAATCTCTCTCATACTCTGCCCTTGTGCTCAGGCTTTCACACATAGGGGGTGCAGTAGCGGTCCACCTGGGCTCCCCAGGGACTCACAGGCATGGCCGAGGACCAGGGAGCTGTGCAAACTCCCTCTTGTCTGCCACCACACCTTTCGTGTGACCACTTCATAAAAACACTATAAAAAATGTTTCTAAATCCAAACATAAGTATCTTTTTATTTGCTTTAATTGCATTTAATTATGCAGGATTATATTCTTTGGAACAATTTAAGAAACTTTTGTCCCTTGGGAGAATATGGTATAATATGCACAGTACTTCAAACTCTGAGTGTAACTCTCCCCAAACTGCCAAACTCTGTTCTGTTTCTGTAGAGTAGCCCTCATGGGGCACCCAGAGAAGTCTGGGAAAAGCCATCATGGAGGCCACCTCTGAGAAAGAAAATTGAAAGGAAGATGAACAGAATTGCTGCTATAAAATAAAGTAGGCCTCAGATTCACTACAATTGAAGACATCTTTCTAAGCCTTTTAAAAAAGTACTTTGGGGAAAATACACTTTTTAAGTATTACTAAAATTACATGCGTGTAAATTTCAAACTGTAATTCAAAGCAGCAATATGAAACAATTTTATTATGTGATGCCACCAGTACCTTGGTGGTTTATTTAAAAAATAGCATCTTTGATGTCAGAGATGAAGATGCCCCAAGACAGATGGGTACCCAGTGGGAAGGGTCAGCCTCACTGCAGGTCTGGCCCCAAGACAGACGGGCGCCCAGTGGGAAGGGCCAGCCTCACTGTGGGCCTCACAGGAGTCTGGTCCGGGGAGAGCAGGGCTTCAGGGCCATTGTTGGGATGAAGGTATGTTTTGATTACTAGTAAGATATACAAGAGCAAAACGTCATTACCCTGGATTAATGTTAACATAATGCCACTTCAGTTCACATTGTTAGAAACAGACTCTAAAATGTACCTTCATTTTAATTTAAAAATAATTCTTAAACTGTTGGTTGTGACACAATTGGTGAATTCTGAGGTGTGGAGCGGAGTTCTTGAAGCATCAGTTAACCCTGATCCTTAAGAAACAAACTGTTCTAGCAAATGGGATTGTATATATTTGTTCTATTCTTTTGACCAAAAAATTTAATAAATTTTAAATGTTTAACTGGATTTTCACCACGTATTTGGACACCTTTTTCCATCTTCCCTGGAGGACATATTTCCTGTGGCTGGTGCTCCTAGGGGCTTCTGGGCAGGCTCAAGGTCAGCTTCAGCTGCCTGGAGCCCCTGTCCCCAGGCTGTCTGGGCCAGCAGCTGCCTTACAGCCTGAGGCTCTCCTGGTCCCTGCTGATGCTCTCGGGGCTGCCTCCATGAGCTGGCACAGGCAGGGTTCACTTTGGAGAAACATTTGCAAAAGGTGTGATGGGAATTTCTACCTTGTTCTCCCTTTTATGACTCTGAGGCCACATAAGCCTCTTTCTGGCCCAGTGAATGAGAACCCTCTTTTTTAAGGCATCTGTTTTGCATTTCAGCTTATGTCCTTTTTCCTTCTGAAACATTGCTTTTCCTGCTTAAAGTTACAGACATTTTGCCGGTTGTACATGGTACTTCAGTGTTCTCAGGCCGGCAGCCTACATGGACAAGCTTCGCCTGCATGTCCACGTGCAGGGTTCATGTGTGTTTGTTGCAAGAGAAACGAGGTAGGAC